CCCATGGAAGGTATTGGTCATGCCAGTCATTTGACGTCACACAGAGCCTGTATTCGCCTGGAGGGGGAAGCTTTCCGGGTGGCAGCATTCTGTAGCACCCAACAGAGTCAGTGCAGGTTGTTGTGGTGTACTGGCAGTCATCGAAAGAGCGGACCAGCATGTAGTCGGAAGCAATGGTGCCTCTCGGAAGATTGGGTGCCCACGAGACGACCATACCGTAATACGGACAGAGTGTAGCAAAATCCGCATTGGTCTCTTCAATCAACATGAAGTCCATGCTCTTATTCGTCGTCCGAGGAGTGGAAAAGCCTACATTGTCAGAACGCCCCGTGAATACCAATTCCCAACGTCCCGAAGGCGCCCCCCAAATAGGCATGAATGTAATGGTATTGGTTCCCGCATCAAGAGTCGCCGGCCAGCCAGGGATGAGGACTGAAATGTAGTACGAGGCGGAGAGGTTCAAGCCAATCAGTGGTTGGTCATTGTTAACTTCACAGGTGTATGGGATGTTGGAAGGACTGAGTATTACGCTGGGAAAGCAGTTCGTGAGTGTCACCGAGGGATCCTCGTCGGCTGCAGGCGTGGCCATTCTCGTTCGGGGGACCATTCCACCAGCAGCAGCAACAGCGGCACAGCGAAGAAACGGTTCAATCACAACCATCAGTACCAGAAACAACACCTGGATGTCTCTCAACTGCAGCCCCATAGATGCCAGCAGTCTCGTCTTCCTTCTGCCTCGACGCAGGATTGAAACATGTTCAGAGAGGCCCATATCGCTGAGACTGCAACTGCCAATGCTCTTTGGTATCTTGCAACACTGTAGGTGTGCCGATTGCGATTTCCCTTCCATGTGCCTCGTGTTCATCGCTTCACTGATTCTATGTTGATGCTGCAGGTGATGTTAGATACTTCCCTTAGTTCAGAACGGGTAGGAGCAAAAAGTCAGCTAATAGAATACAGAGCGCAGAGGANTGCCTCGACGCAGGATTGAAACAGGTTCACAGAGGCACATGGCATCGAGACTGGAGTTGTCAATACTCTTTGGTAACTTGTAACACCGTAGATGTGCCAACTGCGATTTTCCTGTCATGTGCCTCATGTTCATCGATTTCTTGAATAGATAAGACTTCTACTAGCAGCTGCTTGTCTTGATTTAGAAATAAAAAGAATCAAAACGCAGCGAATAGCACGCAGAACATAGGCAATCAGCAACAGAAGAACTTCTACAGTGGACATATCACCATGCTTGTGTACTTGGGGTTTCCACTCGCATACCAGTAAAGAAACATCACTTGTGCTTCTCCAATAAGATAACTGTGTATTATCAGTAACGTTTTCCAAACACTTCTTTGGGGCCTCTCACTCTCCCCTGCACCTCAGCACAGCCACTACACAGCTGCCTCCATACCCCTCACACCAAGAGTCCCCTCAATGTCTATTGCGCCTCTCCAAGAGACACATCAGGTGGCCAGCAGGCCCTGAACCCGTGTCAGCGTCACCTGCGTCACTCGTCAGAAGCACATGCTGAGGCACCGTCAGCGGGGACCACGCCACCACACTGTCGCCTGCAGGGTGATTCATATTGTTATTGTGTTGCTGGTGAAGAAGCCAATCCCTCAACAAGGAATACACACACACACACCTCCTTCCTCATTTCCCCTGAACCCCCACCCAAGTATTGTTGCCGTCACTCACCACAACTGAGACACAGACACGAGAGGAAACCCCACCTTCAGTTTGCTCCTTGAACGCATGGTGAGCACCACAAGCGTATAGAGGAACAAACCAAAAAGAACACCCACCAACAACTCGATTTAGTGTCGACTTATGCAAGATGGGCTCTTTGATCGTTTCCTTCACAAAAGGCCATGTGCAGGTGAAGGACATGTCGAAGGAGGAATATAACCCAACACACTTTCCCACTCAACTAGACTTGCTTCCCTCCGGAGGAATTCAAAAGACAAAAGCGCACACACACACATATCTTAATGACCATCCAAAGTCATCACACCTCACACAGCGTCATGTGTTTCCGCCGACATCAAGAATGATTTTGGATGTTATGTTATTCCGTTTGCATCGAGCAGAACCCCCCAGGCAACCATAAATTGAGCATTGGATCCCTGCAACTCCGCACACCAGGAGAACACCGAGGAAAGCTCACAACAAAGCACTGCCCCTGCCAAACAAATGCATCACACGCATGCTCCTTATCCCTTCTTTTACTGTATCACTTCGCACCATATCAAAGAGTATCGGCACAGCAGAGAGTCACCCATCACCCCCAGCAACCCTTTCATTCCCTCGTCAGTGCTTCCCGCATCACGTCAGTGGTGCACCATCAGCCAATGATGTCCAACAGTCGTCATGTCGCACACGCACCTAGCAATGCAGATTCGGTGGTCTTTTTTTTTAGGTTGACTCGCATCAACCTCTTCAACCCCCAAATTACTTCTGCAGTAGGGAGTAGACCACATCTGGAAGCCGAATAAATACAAAATGAGTTTCATATCTACATTCATCTCCAGCACCGCTGCCATTTGACCTTCATGCTGCAAGTTCTAGAGTAGGCAGTACAGTAGAAGGAGTATCCTGACGGGCAATCTGCAAATAGGACCTGGTTCATGCTTCTTATTCCCCAAAATGCCTTTCCAACAGTGGCTACGCAGTGAGATTGTTGTCACTCATCCTCACTGCTCATGGAAGAGTCCTTCACAATGGGTGTAGAGAACCAGCATGACACCCCCTCACAGTAAGCCTGTAAAACTTTCGCCAACACCAATATCTTATACACATCCTCAGCCTAAATAATCCATCCTCACCAATACGCCCAGTTGCTCTCCAGAAACACCATGGTCCCTTTATGTGTGTCACCTATTTCCCTCTTCTCTTCTCTGAAAAACACATGGCGTATATCATCGCCATCATCGCAGATCATTCCATTACACTGTTGGAGACATCCCTTACCACCCCAACAAGGCTTAACTCTGCGAGAGGCGATCAGAAGAGCATTTCCGCACAACATAACTATGCTAATACGAACAAGGTTTCACGAATCCGGAGAAGGAATCGCACTGCTTCTAAGCGATGCCCACTCCCTCTGATACACACACACTTGCCACCCTTCTTCCACAATGAAACGCAGCAAACATAGAACGTGTTCCGTAGATTCCTCGAAGCCAAGAACCACACTGTAAATTATCGTACACATACCTTNTTTTTTTATATGCATCCGTGTTAGGAACCTTTCTGCAAACAGGCTGGACAAAACCTTTGTCCGTACCTCCCAAAAAAAGGCCCCATCAGACGTAAAGTGCTGCACAGAAGCTGCAACATACCGAGTCGTGGGAGAAGGACACTTTCTGCCCGCCACGAAGGCCAACACACCCTCTATAAGGCCCAAACCAACTCAACACAACCATCATTACTCGTGTTAGCAAAAACGGATAAAGAGAAGGAGAGCGTAAAGCGCTCTTTTACCCAAAACGCCGGCGGTTCAACCCACAGACACACAGAATGCCTCGGTATACATAACGTGTTGGCACG